AGTGTTGCTTCCCCACAGGAACTGCACCCAAGTGAGTGTAGAGATGAAAATGTACTATGTTTACATTTTTAGGCTATTCAGTTGAATATGTTTTAATTTTATGCACAAAATTTAAAATTTATAAGCACAAATTTTTTCCAATTATTATGTTAATGTAAATCCAGACTAAGGGCATAAAGGTCAATGTACTAAGGAAAAACCATTCTGCCCATTGCCCCTTAAAGACCAGGAACAGCTTCCTCAAGCCCAGTACTGGAGGACTCACTCTAGGCACTGCGTACTTAGTCCCAAGTCTCATCACACATTTTTGGATCAGTACAACTTAAGCACTTCCTAGCCCTGTCAGGACCCCCATCTTAACCTATCAGTTACTGGAATATTATTGTTCTAGATTTGAGCCTCATCTTCATATAGAGTGGCAAGATTTCTCTTTCCTCAAGCTTTATTTCTCCATTTCTTACCACATTTGCACCTTGTGCCCTAATGCCATACTGGATTAAAACCAGGGCCTTGAATATACCAGGAAAGCGGGGTTGCTGACAGCAGTCCTTGCCCACATGGTTTTGTTAACAGCGGAAGAATGGGCAACACAGGTGACTATACCAGGCTTTGAAAAAATCAATTTATTTAAAAATTCTTTAAATCTATTTTTTTTTCCAGGAGAACAGTAGTTCATGAAGGAAGTGTAATAGAATGCCTTCAGCAGGCAGCTGCATTAGAATTGTAAATCAACAAATAACCAATCCAAAAATATTCTAATGCTAGAGGGCTTGAGGGGCATCAACCTTATCCATGCTTGTTCAAAAAACTACCCCTTCTTCCAAAATTTCATTAAGGTACCAAATCAAAGTGTAAATAAAAATCACAATAAAAATGTTGATCTAAGACATATAAGCCAATGAAATACTAATATTGTACTTTTTATCCCTTTTTTATTCAAAGTCTCATGTAGTTCTGGCTAGCCTAGAAATTTCTATGTAGACCAGGCTAGCCTCAAATTCACAGAAATCCACCTGCCTTGCTTCCAGAGTATTGGGGTTAAAGGTACGTGCCAGCATGCCCAGATGTAATATTTGTCTTTATTTTCTAGTCTGAGTTTCTACAAAAGTTTGAAAGAAAGATTACAAGATGTTAAAATATATGTTCTATAAATAAAGATGCTACAATCATCTGAGTTAAGAATAGATGTGCTAATCATGCAACAAGATTTTCACACGCGAGTTAAAGGGCATATTACAATCCAGAAATAGTTACAAATGAATCCCCAAACTGAACTATTGGGATAGGAAAGGAAGAATACAGTTGGCATATCTATAATAATCCTCATTTATTTTATTTTCTTAGATAGAAGTCCCATGAATTTTGATCACTAAACCCTAGTGGTCCCTCCTTTTCATAAAAGTCAGCATTTAAAAATATGAATATGCTAGGGAAAGGCTCCAGACTCTTTTATTTTCCTTTTCTCCCACGTAAGTAAGGCCCACAGCGAGGCTGGAATTAGCCTCTTGCATCGGAACTCAGCCGTGATTCTAAGAAACTCCCATGTATTTAAAAACATTCCTAGTAGAACAAAGGTCTGGTAGTAGCACAGACAAGGACTGGCAGGGTACTCATTACATGTAATTTTAATAATGTAGGTGAAAGATAATGAGGGATTAAACTTAACATCACAGATTGTTTTGGAAGATGCGACCCGTCTCTGCAGGTTGCCCTGAGCACAGACTGGAAGGGAGCGCAGAGAGCTGATCTACAGCCAGTCTCTGGCAACTTTCCTTCTCTATTACTCAGCACGACAATGCCCAACCCCATTGCAGCCATTAAGAACTTCTGATCTCCTCTAGGTTATATTTACTTTTCGTTCAAATTGAATGACCCAATCCCGTTTTTAATTTTGTAATTTGTGCAAAAAAATTCAAAGAACTCATATTCTCCCTGAACTATAGCTTTTCTAGGGCATTCTGCTAAGGTCGTATTCTGAGGTATAGAGAAGGTCCTCACACTTCAGAGAAAAAGGAGAAGGCAATTGAGAACCCTGTTTAATAAAGATTCAGAAAGCACCTTAATAAAGTATGCAAAGCCAGGGAAAAATACAGAATTGTAGCTCAGAAAAAATGATAGCAGTAAAGATGACCAGCAGACACAAATGCTTATTAGCCATCAGGAGTTACTAGTCAGTGAGACACCCACCCGCTGTACGTCCATCCATCTATCCATCCATCTGCCCTTCCACCCATCCTTCCATCCATTATGCAGCTGGCAGCTTTAAGGCTGTCCCTATGGTCAGAGTATCCAATGGTAGTCAGATCAAAGCCATCCTATATCCAGAACCCTGATAGTCCAGCTGGCGACTACCACCAGCACAGGTGACCTGAGCACTGAGCACCGAGTTCATCGCCACGAGCTCAGGTTTCTCTATGCTTCCGTTCTTCATTACACCTGCTGTGAAAACACTAAAGCTTGTCCACTTCCTCAGCACTCCCAATGCAGGCTTCTACGACAGGAAACATGGAACAAGCCTGCAATATTTTCTCGTTAGCCTCAGTGGGGATCAGTGGCTTATAGTCTGAGACCAAGGCAGAAGACAAGAGTGCAAGAATATATAGCACAGAAATTCTGTTCCTAAAAAAATTGCTAAGTCAAGACAGATATAAGTAATAGATTGTAAGGTAGAACAGGTAAAGTACATGAAAAGAACATACAGAAAATTATTACTGAAAGGATTTTCAAGTTGAGAGGAAAATCTTACAGTGCTTTATGATAACCTGTAAATTGGCTCAAGAACTAAGTTACTGTTATAATTTTAGAAAACATCTAAATGATGCTTTACACTTCCCACCCCCATCCCAGCCACTGAGAGAAGTTAATCTTCACTGTCATCTCTCATCCTTCTTTCTAACCACTGTGATAATCCAGCACTGCACAGCCTGACTGTCTACTAGAATTTCTGGGACTTTTGTTGTCTTTACTATTTTTAAGTAAGTCACTAGAGTGTCTCCTCTTCAGTAGTGAAGTTGAATGGGTCCTGAGTGCCCTGCTGGGCTTGTGATTCCCTCTTCTCAGGAGACAACAGAGATCAAGGTTGGACAAGAAGGATGAGTCACCGAGACTGAGGGCAGTGCTTTGCTGCAAAGTGTGAAGGTCTGTGTGTATGTGTTTTGTTGTTTTTTGTTGTTGTTGTTTAGCTATCATAATTGTTTTCTTTAACTTAAAAATAAATTTATAATGGCATTTTAAAGTGTGTTTCAGTTGATTCTCCACTCCCGTGTTCTCTTCTGACCTTCTCCCCTCTCCTGGCCCCTCTTTTTTTTATTTTATTTTTTTAAATTTAATTTAATTAATTACAGTTTATTCACTTTGTATCCTACTTGTGGCTCCCTTCCTCCTCCCCTCCCAAACCTAACCCCTCTCCCTTTTCTCCACCCATGGTCCGCGTTTTAAAATGCTCCTTCTGAACTTTTGCTCGGTGAAAGCACTGTACAGTGCTGTGGCTTGGGGCTGGCCAAGTCTGTTTGAAAGAACTAGAAGGGATCAAGGAGCCATCTGAGGAGTCCAAGTTACACAGGTGCTAGCTGTGTAAGACCTGGGTCAGATCCTGGGTCGGATTCAGACTTGCAGAATATGCAGGGGAGGTGAAGTCACCCACAGCCTCAGGCAGAAACCACCAGCAGTGTCCAGCAGCAAAGGACTCAAGTATCCCAGCAGACAGCAAAACGGTATGGCTCTTGCTTCAGGGGTAAGGGACTAGGCTACAGGAGCCTTTTGTTTTCCACAAGGTCGTAGCAACATAGTTGCTTGTTTGTTTGTTTGTCTGTCTGTGTGTTTGTTTATAACAAAATGGTTACCAACAGAAGAAGGAAGGCTCAGAGACTAAGGTGCTCTGTGTTATCTTCTGGCAGGGTCTCACTCAGGGGTCCGGGAAGAGGAAGCCATCAGGTTAATCAGGAGAGGGCATGGGAGCCATGCCCCAGCAGGGAGAGTGCAGCCCCTCCTTCTGGGGTTAACAGATGCTGACATGAGCACAGCAACAATTAAAATCAGAAAGAGGTGCTAAGAAAGTTGGGTTGTTCCCCAAAGACCCAATCTATCAGTAAGACAATGGTATTATTACAAAGAACAAAGAGACAAAACCCCAGCCTCTTCAGAGAGTTAAATAAGGAGGCATGATTCAAAACAGAAAACCTGGAACTTACGGGAAGATATAGTGCACAGTAAACAGTGCGTCCCAGCTATAAGGCATGCTGTATTCTGTGACACATTGCTACTCGTGTCAGACTATGGACCGTATAATTTATAGTTGCATATGACTATTGCAGCCTTTAAATAAGCACAGAGGGCTGGAGAGATGCCTCCTCGGTAAGAGCACTGACTACTCTTCCAGAGGACCCAGCTTCAAATCCCAGCACCCACATGACAGCTCACACCTGTTTTTTTTTGTGACATCCTCACACAAACATACATGCAGGCAAAGAAGCAATGCACATAGAATAAGAACACATTTAGAAATTAGTTAAATGAGCGTGCCTACGTTTCTCTCTGTAACATTACAGTGAGCGTCACTCTCCTCTGCAGTCCACTTCACACATGAACCTGTATGTTTGTTTCCCGGTACAACTACACTTTATCCACTGCAGAGTGAACCATGTGTTTGTTGCACTTTATGTCAGGTTTCCACTTACCGTTCAAAAACCCAAACATGCTTATCATTTAGTTTTTAGCTCAAGGTAAAAACCAAAAGGCCTCAAGATGTGGCAGCACAGAACAAATCAGATCCTCTGCTGTTTCAAATGAGAGTGGAAAGCATTTTTTTTTTTTTTTTAATAATGAAGAGAATTATATTGGCAAGCCTACATTTAGGAAAATGTTGAACAATGCTCCCTGAGTGTTTTCACACAGCGAAGAATGAAAACAACAAACAGAAGACCCAGAGGGCCAACCGTTTCTGTGTGACACGGGTGGACAGAGGGCCTGATGCGAAGAGCACTGGGCATGCATGTACCCACCTGCGTTAGAGCCAGTCAGGTTATAGCGCGCGTTCAGCTTCTTGATGATGTTCTCATGGATCTGGCACCACTCGCTCTCTGTATTACACCTACAGAAACAACCATTCGGTTAGGCACTCACACACAAGCTCCAGCCCCAGCTGCCGGAGCACAAGAATGCCTGGCCTGAGGCTTGCTCAGTGCTGGCAGGAAGGCTCCAGGAGGCAGTGGCTGACAATCCACCTTCATCCACTGAGCCAAAGGTGCTGAAGTCTAAGAATGGGACACTCAAGCCTCAGATTTTCACTACTAAATGAGTTCTGTTTGGGGAGCAAGATGATCACTTTCTCTGTACCTCGCTTCCTTCATTTGTGAAACTTGTATAATTAACATATTAGAAAATTGAATAAGCATGGGCTTAAGTAATGCCTGCCATATGGTAAATGCTCAATAAATAAAGGTTCTCATTAGAAAATTCTGCCCTCTATAACATGGCCAGGCCTGGCTAAGGTCAAAACGCAACCAATTCAGTGAAACAAAATCAATGCTAAGACAGCTTACTCTGGCGAAAGCCTGCCAGGATATAAAGGGGGCAACACAAAATACTTCCAGATTTTTCCAAGTCTCGGAGAAATGGCTCTCTATCTCACTCTATCGTTTCATCGTCTGACATCTACCTCTTTGCTTTTTTTTTTTTTTTTTTTTTTTTTTTGGAAGGGGCAGTGCTGGGGATTGAACCTAGAGTGTCATATATCCAAGGCAAGTATTTTACCACCATGCTCTCCAGCCCCAGCTCTTGCTTTCAGCTCTCGGTGCTCAGTGCTCAGGTCACCTGTACTGATGTAGTCACCAGGGTTCTGGATATAGGATGGCTTTGATCTGACTACCACTGGATACTCTGACCATAGGAAAGCCTTAAAGCTGCCAGCTGCATAATGGATGGAAGGATGGGTGGAAGGGCAGATGGATGGATGGATGGACCAGTAACTGACTAGTAACTCCTGATAGCTGATTAGCATTTGTGTCTGCTGGTCATCTTTATTGCTACCTGGCTCTAATGAGGCTTCCGAGAACTTGCCTACCTAGATGTGTTTGTAAATCTGCTATTTTTTTTATGAGCTACAAATGCTCTTTCTTGAGGCCTTTGATATCAAGACTCCTTATACTATCAACCAAACCCAATTGTCCAACAGCAGCAAACCTCCTCTTAGTGAGCGTGTCTGAGGCATACAAGTCACCATTAGCTCATGTATGTATACATCATCATGGGTCTTCCAAGACAAATATGTTTGTGGGTGGGGGCAGGTTATATCAGTAGCATACCAAACTGAGCCATGGCTCTCAGAACACTGTAAAATCTCCATGGAAAACCATTTCACCTGGATAGCTATGAGAGATCAAATTCCATTTAGTACATTTCACCTCTAATTTTCCTCTTCCTGCCCAGTAGGAAAGAAAAGAAGATGGTTTGCTTCCTGACAGACTCTAGAATTTATTTTTTGACCTTGAAAAGCTCCAAGTAAAATGAAAACTCCTGAAGCAGGTGACTGAAATATCTTCTAGCCTCAGACAAAGTACTTGTTACTTTTTCAATCCCAGACAGAGGTAAGGATTCGGCCACTTGAATAAACAGAGCTTCTTCCAGATGGATTCCAATGATCACTTCAAAGGTTTTATTAACACTGGTTCCTTCCTACTGTCAGAGATGGTTCTCACTGGTTAGATTTTTCTCGTGGAACTGTTTCACAATTTGCTGAGTCGACAGTAGAAAAAACAACCAATAACATAATTTGATTATTTAAAAAAAAAAAAAAAAGCAGACAAAAACACTGCAGAGAGAAGCACAGTATATTTTTAAAATGGTCTTTTCTTTTTTTAAAATAATTTTTATTTTTTAAATTAATCACAGGTTATTTACTTTGCATCCTAGCCATAGCCCTCTCTCTCATTCCCTCCCAATCTCACCCTCCCTCATCTCCTTCCTGCCCCTTTCCAAGTCCACTGATAGGAGAGGTCCTCCTCCCCTTCCATCTGACCCTAGCTTATCAGGTCTCTTCAGGACTGGCTGCAATGTTTTTTTTTTTTGTTGTTGTTGTTTGTTTTGTTTTGTTTTAAGCTGGTTGTATAATCATAGGTAACTCCTGTCACTGTCAACCCCTCAGTCTTCCCAGCAGATAAATACAACACTTGTCACCAAACCTGGCAAGATTATGATAAAAATGATAAGACTATGTTTGCAAAGAATTTTGGCTTTCTTTAGTAATGTCACGTTCTATCATGCTCACGATACTAGACAGCGGTGTGAAATAAAATCCATGCAGACACAAGATGAGCTGGGAGCCCAGGTTCCAAGCACCTGGATCCTACCTCAGTACCTGGGTGACAGGGGTACATTACTTAGCATTCCCTCTCCTGTGTGCACCAACTCCAAAACATCTGCTTCATGGGGTTGCTCTAATGATGAAGAGCCACGGCACATGTAAAGTCCTGGATCCTTTGCACGCAGTACACAACCCCAGGGAGGAGGGCTGTTACTAGTCACTGTGGTCTTAACTAAGTTATAGTTTAGGACTAAGTCAAAACCATAGACAACGAGGGCTGCCATAGAAATAAAGAGTAGCAAGTTGACCTTCCCACTGGTTTCAGGATGGCTTCAAGTTTACAAGGAAGGTCTAACCTTCTTAGAAAGGGTAAACACATCTCTGGTCCCAAACCAGAGGCTACAGATAATCTGTTTCTCACCTAATTACTGAATGCGCTATGGAGGCCTCACTGCATAGAAAGTTGATAAATCCATCAACCCCTGCAGCTGTGGTCACAAGCAATTTTTTGTCCAAACATTGACAAAGGGCTAGTTTTGTTATCACAACCTCCCCCTAAAACCCCCCCAGAAAGAAAACAAAATACCTGCTTCTATTCGCTAAAAGCAGCAGCACAAGTTTGCCCATGGAACTGGCCCACAATAGTCCTTGGGTTCAGAAGCAGATGCTCCAGCAGGTCTACCTGGATCATGACACTGTCCATAAGATCCTATCTACCAAGCCTGTGGGAGGTGTCAGGTGAGCTGACACAAACACATGCTTACACCATCATCTCGGAAATCACTTAACTGAAAATCTGGACTAAACCATATGATCTTCTTAGGAGTATTCTCTGTTTTACTGTGCCCAACTCCAATACAACAGTAAAATCTTAAAGCCCAGGATCGTGGAATGTGGCCTTTCAAAGAGGATCTTCTTAGAGGTAATCAAGTTATAGCGATGTCACTGGGGTCAGCTTCAATCAAATACTATTGTACAGAGAGGCATGGACACAAAGACTGTTGTGCACCCAGAGAAAGTGTCATACGAAGATGAAGGGAGAGGTCAGAGTAATGTATCAACGGTATGGATGCCAGGAGAGAGGCATAGAAGACCTCCACATTCCTCGCCCTGAAGGAAGTGAACATCCCTGGACTGCAAACTTCTATCCTCCAGACTAATTGAAGAAGGCAAACGCTGCTGCTGCTGCATAAGCCAAGTTACTCATGGTATGTCATGAAAGCAGTTCCATTCGTAACTCACAAAGCAGGAGGGTCGTTGTCTGTGCCTCCCTCACCTAATTCTAACTTGGCTATTTCTAAAAATAATAGATTTTGCCTTCAAAGAACAAGCATGTCATGGTAAGGACATGCTGTTATGTTGCTCAAGAATGGAAGGAAATACCAATGAAGACGATCTCCCTAAACCAACAAACTGCATTCACTGATTTCCTGATTCGTGGTTCATCCAACTGGCAGTTTCTAAAGATTTTGACAAAAACTCAGGCCCGCCTTTTCAGCTAGGAGGCTAAAGTCATCCACCCAGCAGGATTATCAGGCATCCTGTGCCTACCTCACCCCCACCCCACACATGCTCCTTACATGTATACTTTCAGGACAAGGTCATCCTTTGTCTCTCCTGTGAGAAGGTCTGCGATGCTAAGAACGGCACAGCCGAAAGGTCGCCGATACTGAACGCTGGAGGCATTCTTCTTCTCCCCTGCTCCCATCCGACCTGTCCAGTCAAAAGCAGCCATGACCCACAGAGACACGTGATTAGATACATCTCAGAAACAGACACGGGTACAAGACAGACCGTATGCAACAACAAAAGGGGTTTGGGAAGGAAATGCCTTTAGCACAACAGAGTACTTTCCACATAAAGATTCTGGTCTAACCACTGAGCTGTCTGACCTTGAGGCAGCAGCTTAACCCCTGAGCATGAGCAGAACATGGCAGGCATGTAGAAACATTAAAATTGGAGCAGACCTCATGTACAGGAAGCATCTGCTTGCTCTGTTGCCTCATGAAAGCATCCCAGAAGGTGCAAACAGTTAAGGACAATCATGGTATGCGTTTTGTTTTCCACCTTAATGATTGCACATTAAAAATTTTTTTTGAAAAATTTCAACTTTAGTCACAGGTCTTGTGACATGACTGTCCCTGCAGTATCTGCAGTGCTCAGATAAACTCCTGCATGTACACCACCTGGGGCTGCCTAGCAAGATCCTGTCTTAAATGAAAAACAAGATTCACATCTGGAAGGAGTCAATTGGAGATTCTTTGGACATGACAAGTACAAGGATCAAATGCAAATTCCAGCCTTGGGACACAGGCGCTTTCACTGGTCCTGCTCTGATATTTCTGGGGTAGTTCTGACAGTTATAAATTTTAATGCATGTTAAATTTTCAAGTTGTTTTTTTTTTTTTTTAAGATTTTATTTATGTGTATGGGTGTCATCCTGAGCACTAATCTTGAGCACTGCATGGCTGCAGTGCTCCCAGAGCCCAGAAGAGGGCATCGGTTCCCTTGGAACTGGAATTACAAACAGATGTGCGTACCATGTAGGTGCTGGGAATCAAGTCCAGGTCCTCTGGAAGTTATGTGCTCTTAACCATTGAGTCATCTCCCCAGCCTTTGTTGACTATTTTAACACATAAGAACATTGTTTTCTTTTCTTGACTGTTTTGTTTTGTTTTGCTTTTTAAGATAGAGTTGCTCTGTATAGACCTGGCTGTCCTTGAACTCACTCTGTAGACCAGGCTGGCCTCAAACTCATACATTCTGCCTCCCAACTGCTGGGATTAAAAGCATGTGTCACTGTTGCCTGGTGGGCACATTGTTTCGTATTGGTATTTAAGTCAATTATTATTTTTGTAGACAAGCTGATAGGATGCTGTAGCTGAAATACTATCAGTTAAAAAAGAAGGAAATTTGTAAATTTGTCTGTAGATCCCCAAGAGAACCATTATTTTATTTTCCATCTGAGCAGCATTCTACAGTGTATCAAGATGTACCTGGCACTCCCCTAGTCTAACGTTTAAAAGAAAAAAAAAAAAAAAAGATGACAATATCCAATTTGGTGTTTATCTTTAGGTCTTTCTTTTCTACTATCTGTCTTCCTCCAGTATGTGCACTGTAGAACATGAAGCAAAAGCTGCAGAGGGAGGGGCACATAGAAGTCCTGCTCTCACTGGGGAAGACCCTGCATGGAGCTTTGTGATTTCCCAGTTTGCTCCAGTTGTTCTAGCCTCTCGTCCTTGAACACGAAGTTTGAGGTTCTCGGGCTCTGTGGGCACACACACAGCTTTAGGGACTAAGGCTTTGATGCAATCAAAACAGCAGAAAGATTTGATGCCAATGCTGGTGTTCCCAGCTGTAAGACTAATGATAAGAATTCAGTTTTGGTTGGTTTCCAGGAAAATCCTCCACATAAGAAGGAAGAGCGGAGGAAGTTAAAAATACTTAGCAACCAGCTAAACTCCGAAAGGGAAGCACAGAAGGTGGCGGAACCTGTTACTGGGAGGAGCAGGGCTTCAAAGCTGACTTCTCCTTTTGCTTCTTTCCTCTTCCTTTCAAATCAAGGACCTGGCCATAAATTCCCAGAAGCGAGGCCTCACTGCGTTTGCTGTTGGCAGCCAGTGAGGGTCACTATGCCCTTTTCCCAGTTAAGCAGGTACAAGGGACATTCTATAAAAAGCCAGCTGCATCTGTCCTTGACAGATAATAATCTTCTCCTTAATTTCACTGCATTTAGAACACTAGCAAATATGTCCTAACCTTTCTCAAGTGTTTTGCTTTAGTTTTAATTCTGATCAGTTTTTAACTATGAAACCAATAACTATTGTTTTATAAGGATTTATTTGGCCATCAGAGCATAGGTAGGTAATTCCTCCTTCAACATTTATTTTGATGACTTGTGATCATGGAAAAGAAAAAGACAATTACTAACAAACGAGTGTGTATTTGAAAGGCTGCTCCAGGATGTTACAGCACCAAGGTGGGCTGCATCCTTGGCCAAGGACTCTGTGAGTAAAGACCGTGCAGCCCAATAACACACACATTGAGGATTATATCCTACCATGCCAAACTGACAGATATGGTCTAGAACGTTCTCAAAGCCGGAAGGCTTTGCCTCTTCCCTCAATGATTAAGGAGATTATACTTAAGCTTCAGCAATGTTTACAAAGAGATCTAAAACACATTTTATCTTAACAACTGATTGTAAATTAAAATCCCCAAACCTAAAAAAATACAATTATAAAACAAACCTTGCTTTTATCAACTCGAGACACATTTTATCTCACAAGTACATAGTAGCATATCAGCTTTACTATTATTTGAAATGAGTCTTTCTAATTACTCTCTCCCATACTTATCCACACATAATAAAAAAATCAAAGCCCCAAACAGACACAGGCACTGGTGCACATCTGCAATCCCAATACTCAAGGGTCGAAACAAGAAGGCTAAGAGGTTGAGGCCAGCGTGGGCTACACAGTGAACTTCAGATGAGGTCATGTCTCAAAACACCCCCAGAGCAAACAAAAGTATCATTAAAAAGTTTACTTAAAAAGTTAACTCCCTTGTCCCTCAAATATAAAAACAGTATAAAACAGTTTCAGAACATATTTTTAGTGAGGAGAAAATACATGTGCAAATAAGAATATGCTTTATAGTTTCCTTCAAAATCCAATGTAGTTACAATATATACAAGCTACACACTTCAAAAACAACGGTGGCATTGCAGGCCTGCACGGCCAGCTGTTGTCCTGCTGCAAGAGCGCTGTCATGCAAATGTTGCAGTTACGGAAGTGTCTTGGGGACACATCCTTAGGATCAGCCTGTCGGCACTAATAGGAGAGCTATGCGTCTATACCACTCACTCTCAGGGGCTGCTAGGCTGGAAATTGCCTGCTTTTAGAGGAGTTTCCTGTGGAGAAATGAAGGACGGTGTTCCCGCTCCACCGAAATGTTGCTTGGTGAGATGTGAATAAGTGCCACATTGTCTAAATGTTTTCACGATCGGATCAAATTAGAGAAAGTGAGAGGCGCCATTAAAGAGGAATGCTCATGTCTACCTGGAGGGTGTCTCAGCTCCTTGAAGAAGCTGATGAAATTACATAAACTAAAAAGCCTGTGGTGTCTACTGTCTCAAACCCCTTCTGTGTAGGATACTCTGTAACTCTGCGGTCAGGACAACACTGCTTGCTACACAGATGGCCTGAGCCTGGAGGAGAGTTAGCTCCTAAAAGCTGATTTTATGGTATGAGAGACTAGGATTGAAAGAAAAATACAACATGTTTGAATCAAATATGTTTGGGGGTAGCAATAAAGCACAACCAACTGTTTCACAATTTCTATTGTAAAAGATAAATTGAGACGGTAAGATCAAGGAGCTGGAGAGTAATTCCCAACTTCTTAGCTTCTTGGAATCAAATCTGGTTCCAGACAGAACACTATACTAGGCCACACAGAGACCTCTTTGGTGTCACTCCCAGCAGCTGCAGGTCCTGAACTTACCAATTCGGATAATGTGCACGGTAATATAGATGTCCTTCCTGAGTTCACTGCTACCCAAGTCCTACCAAAAGACAAAGCCCGGTTATTTCAGAGTTCCTATTTGTGCAGCAGAACTCAAGAGCCCTGTGCGTTGTCTGGCAAGGAAGGAAAGAGATACACATGGGCGTGGGCAATGAAATGCTTGGGGCAGGAGGAACCTGCCCAGGTCCAAATCCAGGACCTCAAATCCAGGTCCAAGTCAGTCATGACTGCTCATCAGTCTGTGTAAAAGAAACTCTTAGGAATAAAAGCCATTCTTGATCAACTCTCCTAACTCACCCATTCTTCACACACTCAAGAAGTATGGACTAGATAGCCTGTGCCATAGCAGGTCCAGTCACCACTGTGCTTTTGCAACAGTCTCCAAGGGTCACCAGAACTCTAACAGGTGTGTTAAGCAGATAAAAAAAAACCATGGTGAAGCCAACTGTGACAGTAAATCAGAATTCCAACCACTATTGCAATCTGTGAGTTATCTGAGGCATTTAAGGACAGTCAGGACTTTCTCTTGCAATAAAGCCAGCTACACTTACCACAAAGAGAGAGCAGTGTCTTTCCGGCTTATCCGGGGCTTTGGGAAGCCCATTTCTATTCAGTCTCAAGAAAAATCTCTCACTGCAAGAGAAAGACAAGTTGAACACTTACAAAATTATATCATAGTCGCCTTTTCTCACTGTTGTTAGTCTGATAGTTCAACATTTGGAGAACACAACCGGCATGTGCTCAATTTCTGACAGAACGGGCAAAGCAGTAACTGCATGAATGCACACGTAAAAACTTAACCGCTCCCACAAGTGTCCTTGTCAGCAATATCACTGAAACTGTTCCAAATGCATGATATGAGACAGTGGAGCCCAGTCCTTCTGTGTTTATCTAAGTTGTTCTGGTGATTTATATCATGTTCCTTAATTTAAAGTAACATCAAAATGGCTTTGTAGCTCTTGGTCCTCTGCGTCTATTCTTCAAAAGGGAACAAACATTTCAATTCATGAAACTTGAATTTACTTTGGTCTACCAATAAACAGAAAATCTCAAACTGTGCACTGAGCAGGGTCACCCAGGTTTAGAGCAAACGCAAGACTCACTGTGTCAATCAGACAGTAATTTAAGGCCGTAATCATTTGTGACTGGCATACAGATTCAATTAAAAAAGGTTGTCTACCCAAGAAATATTAATGCACCCACTACCTCTGGCTTTAAATCCCCCACTGAATCTCAATATCTGGGGGAAGAATCAAGTAACTAGCTGTCCGAGGCAGAAACATAAAAGCAATATCCACTGAATGCGACATGATCACATGATGTGGCCTTGGCTGCTGCAGGTTTGGCCTGGGGAAGCAGAGAAATGGGGTGCTTAGCATTAGCACAAGGCTCATAAGCCTCCAGCCTTGCCCATTTCATTCATCACCATCTCCTTTCCTTAAATAACGGCTCTGCTATTCAAATACTACACAGGGGGAAATGAGAACCATAAACAGATCCATATGGAAGATATGGGTCTCAATTTATATTAGCCTTGCAATACCTCTCTCTTTTGTGATATATGTCTAGATGGATGCATTTAGCCAGATTCAACTGCCTGACTAGACTCGTCATTTTCTTCCACTATGTCTGTGCTTGACCTCTCCTTATGAAAAAGGGCAGCCAATACACAGTTTACTGGGCCATGCCCATCCCTCTTAGCCCAGCTTCCTTCACAGAGCAGGTGGCTGATACAGTGTGAACCGGAAGAAGGCAATGGGCTGCAAGCTTCTTAGAAACTATAAGTCTCATGTGAGTCTGGAATGCAGGCTGGGAAGAGCAGACACAATCGAGGATGCAAAGCGGGGCCAGCTTCTGCCAATGCTCCTCTACAGAGGTCCTCATTACTATAAACTCCTTACAGGGAAGAAAACCCATTACTATTTCAAACAGAAGGCATGACCAAAGGAAATACACGCAAATTCATTTCACAACAAGGGGGTCACACCGTAACTAGCCCTATGGACAGTCAGTCCTATTGAGAACACATCATATCACAGATGCCCTGCTAGGATCTTCCTAAGACTGACTCATCCTGGACTCATCACACCCTCAAGAAGTATGGATGATGATGCTACCTATTTAACTGATGTGCAAGCGAAGATGAAATGTTTTGTCCAAGATCAAAAAACTAATGTGACGAAGAACTGTGTTTTGTGTGTTTGTTGATAATCTTTACTCCTCATTTGAAATTATTTTTGTTATATTATTTTTCTATTCTACAAAAATATTGTGCAAAGATTTCCTTTGTATAGAGAAAAACAGACAGGTATGGGGGTGAGTACTTGTGAGGCTGAGGCCAGAGGATTGCCATGTATTTGAGGCTAGCCTGGGCTACAGAGTACATACCAGGACAGCTAGGGCCATATAACAAACCTGTCTTGAAAATCCACAGAGAAAAAGGCCCAGTCATCTCTGTAGCTGGAACAGTCACACGGCACTAATGTCAAAACAAACCCCAAGGTTTTAGACCAACTTTTACCATGCCAGCCGGAACGAGGCAGACACTACTCTTGATTCCAGGCCACAAAGCAGTTCTTGGTTGAAATTTGTTCCCTGACAAATTTGTTTGTTTGTTTGTTTGTTTTCAATGAAGGCAAAACTCCCCAAAGATTTAAGAATGTGATTTTATTTGGTCAAAACTGCTAAGGTTTATGCAGTCTTAAGGTTTAAAGAATGGTGTTGCTTAGCTTCTCGTTGATGCGTCACTAATGTGCAGTTACTAGTTATAATGATTCCGCACATGGCACAGGCCCGGAAAGTGGCCTCCCCTCGCCTGTATCATGGATAGTATACCCCAGGTCATATTCTGAATGTCACATTGAGAAGGTTCTTCACTGTGAAGCTACTCTTCCTCTTCATGGAGACACTTGAGAAAACGTCATACTATCTTATGACGTATCTATTGAAAACGATGGCCATCAATAAAACATGCAAAAAAAAAAAATCAGTGTACATACTAAAACTGCAACGTTTGTACTGTTATAAAAAACTATTCAGTATCTGCAAGTTTCATCAGTATTTGGATAAAAACATCTTCTAAAGAATTCTGTTTCAGAAAGAAATCCTTTTTTGCTCTGTCACTATTTTAATTTTAACGGTCTAGACAGAATCCTGATTATGCAAGTATTATACTATATCATATCCTGTTCCAGAAAGAACATCAATACATACTACGCCAGCAATGTATCCTTCAGCTTAAGCATGCCTTAGAGGGAAGATAAAAATAGATTCAAAATGGGTACTATGAAGCAATAAGTCATTCGCAATTTATTAAAAACCAGACTTTTGGAAAATCTCCATGTCCAATAAAAAAAGTCTATTCATTCAGTGACATGGTGCTGTTTTACAAAGTCAGTTTTCTTTCAGCTTTAGTGATACAGCAACTACTTACTCAGCAAATAGTTTCAGAAAAAAAAAAAAAGGCCTTTGGTAATGCACTTTAGAATCTTTGAAGTATAATTCCCTTCTCTCACATTTAGAGAATATCACAACATATGTTTTCCGAGCCAGGATAGAAACTAAACAAGCCAAAGTCAGTTCATTCTAGCACATCCAACAGCCTTGGGACTGTCTCATAGAAAGGTTATTAGCCATGCACAAAAGGATTTCTGACACTATCGCAGTGAGCTTCTACTGCAATCCTCTAGCAAGTATTTTAAGGTATGATTAGTAGTTTGTAAATCCACAAGTGTCTTATTAGAAGATCAGCAAGCCTCATTAGACAATTTTCTTTTAAAACAATTTATTATTTACTACAATTTATTCACATTGTATCCTGGCTGTAGACCCCTCCCTCTGTCCCACCTACGCCCCTCCCTTATTCCACTGATAGTGGAGGTCTTCCTCCCCTACTATCTGACCCTAGCCTATCAGATCTCATCAGGACTGGCTGAATCCTCTTTCTCTGTGGTCTACACCTCACGGGAGGGGGGAGGGGGGCTGGTGATCAAAGAGCAGGAAAGAGTTCATGCCAGTGACTTCCCCTGCTCCCCTTACTAGGAAACCCATATGGAGACTGAGCTACCCATGGGCTACATCTGAGCAGGGGGTCTAGGTCCTCTCTATGAATGGTCCTTAGTTGATTCATCAGTCTCTGCAGGGCCCCCTGGGCCCAAGTTCTTTGGATCTGTTGGTCTCCTTGTGGACCTCCTGTCCCCTCCAGGACTTTCTAGCTGCCCCGCCTTCTTCCATAAGACTCCCTGCACTCTGCCTAAAGTTTGGCTATGAGTCTCAGCATCTTCTTCGATACCCTGCTGGGTAGAATCTTTCAGAGGGACTCTGTATTAGATTCATGTCTGGTTCCCTGTCTTCTCCTGCTTCTGATGTCCATCCCGTTTTCCCTTCTAAATGAGAATTAAGCCTTTTCCCTTGGGTCCTCCTCGTTGTTTAGCTTCTTTAGGGCTATAGATTTTAGTATGTTTATCCTATCTTATATGGCTAATATCCACTTATAAGTGAATATATACCTTGTGTGTTTTTCTGCTTCTGTGTAACCTCACTTAGGATGATCCTTTCTAGTTCCATTCCATTTGCTTGCAAATTTCATGATTTCCTCATTTTTAATATCTGAGTAGTATTTCCATTGTGTAAATGTATCACAATTTTTGTACCCATTCTTCAGTTGAGGGACATCTAGTTTGTTCCAGATTCTGGCTATTACAAATAAAGCTGCTACGAACATAGTTGAGCAAATGTCCTTGTTGTATGATTGAGCCTTTTTTTTTATATATGCCCAGGAGAGTTAGAGCTGGCTCCTAAGGTAGCACTATTGCTAATTTTCTGAGAAAGTGCCAGATTGATTTCCAAAGTGGTTGTACAAATTTACATTCCCACCAGCAATAGAGGATGGTTCCCCTTTCTCCACATCTTCTCCAGCATGTGTTGTTGATACTTTTGAGTGTTTGGTCTTTGCCATTCTGATGGGTGTAAAATGGAATCTCAGCATTGTTTTGATTTGCGTTTCCCAGATGACTAAGGAAGTTCAGCATTTCTTTAAGTGTTTCTCTGCCATTTGATATTCCTCTGCTGAGAATTCTCTGTTTAGCTCTGAACCCCATTTTTTAATTAGATTACTTGGTTTCCTGGTGTTTAACTTCTTGAGTTCTTTATATATTCTGGATATTAGCCCTTTGTCAAATGTAGGGTTGGTGAAGATCTGTCTATAGGCTGTCATTTTGTTCTGACGACAGTGTCCTTTGGTTTACAGAAGATTTTCAGTTTCATGACATCCCATTTATCAATTGTTGTTCTGTTCAGGAAATTGAATCTGTAGATTGGCAGGATGGCCATTTTCACTATGTTAATCCTACCAATCCATGAGCATCAGCAATTTTTCCATCTTCTGAAATCTTCAATTCCTTGAAGTTTTCTTCATTCAAGTCTTTCACTTGGTTGGTTAGAGTCACACCAAGGTACTTTTATATTATCTGTGGCTATTGTGAAGGGCATTTGTTTCCCTAATTTCTTTCTCAGTTCATTTGTCTTTTGTATTACAGGAGGGCTACTGATTTTTTCAGTTAATTTTGTATCCAGCCACTTTGCTGAAAGTGTTTATCAGCTAAAGGAGTTCTCTGGTAGAATTTTGGGGGTAG